TTAATAATGAATGTTTCCAAGAGTCTGGTATTTTCTCGCCTTCCAATATCTCATTATAAAGTATTTTTAACTTAGGGACCAAAATTGATTTAAAAGATTTATAATATTCCCATCCCATTCCATCAAAGTCTGGAGTATTACCATTTTTTAGTTTATTAGTAATCTCTATAATCTTTTCATCTTTTATCTCCTTTTTCTAATTCTCTTTTATTGTCCCTAACAGTTTTAACATTTTCTTTAATATAATTTTCCATATCTTCTTTCAATATACTATTACCTTTATATACATTTTGACAGAATTCTTGTATTATCTTTAATTTTTCCTTCATTAGACTATAATTCTTTCCCGATTTATCTTTAAACACTCTAATTGTATTTTTTGATCTTTTAGTTTGGGCTATTCTAGCTAAAAGCTTTGAATTTTTATTACTGTATTTAAAAAAAAATTTCTCTTAGCATGTATCAAGTCCCTCTGGACCTTTTCTAACTCTACACTTTCAAATTCCTTCCTTTTGCCTTGAATTTCTAACAATTTTTTATTATCCCTATCTATAAAGTATTTACTTTCTAAGTCTTTTAATGGTTCTTCTATTTTTATATATATTTTCTTTTCTCAATCTTTCTATGCTATAGGATTCTCTTATAGCAATTCGTCTCATAACAACTTTCATCATGTCCCATACCACTTCTATTTTATTCCCACCTGCTTCATTGATTGACCATAATGACAACCATTCTTTCTTAACTCTATCCACTACATCTGTATACTGAAAAATACTGGAGTCTATTCTCCATCTTCTAGCTTCTCTATAGTCCTTCCTAGCTTTTCTCTCCATCACCATCAACACATGATCCCTTATTTTTTTCACATTAATATTTGTATCTACTACTTTTGAAATTAAATTTTGCAATATAACCATAAAATCTATTCTTGAGTAACTATTATGTACAGAAGAATAATACGTAAACCTTCTTTCATCCCCCTTCAGTTCTCTCCATATATCTTTTAGATCTGTACTTCTTTTATTCAACTCATCTTTTTTACATACAGATTTATCCTTTACCTTATCCAAAACCATATTGAAATCTCCAGCCATAATCACATATCCCTTTCTAACCTTCTCCATCTCTTTAATCACAGTTTTATAAAATTCTCCTTGATTCATATTTGGTACATAAACACTAATTTGTAATCTTCCCCCATTTGACCTTGTATTATCAAATATCTACCATTACTATCTTTTACTACTTCTTTTACTGCAAATTCACAATATTTAGATATCAATATCACTACAAAACTTGTAGATCCATGACTGGGGGGAGGGGTAAATAGTACAGTAGAGGTTGAAAATTCCCCCGAATCTGCTCCAATGGAGATGCTTAAGATTTAATCTACAGTTTCTGTGTACAGAGCATTTTTACCACCACTAAGTATGGGCCTATCAGGGATGATTTCTAGTTTCATGTTTTTTTACCCTCCAGATAGTAGTGTGAATGTAATATCCACAGTGTACACTCTTGTTAATACAGGGCTAGAAAACAACATCAACAAATAAATGGGCCAGAGGATGCCATGGCCACCTTAAAGCCTGGACTTCTCTCATAGCAATAGCTTGGAAAGTTACTTTAAAATAATAATTTATTACACAAGTCACAGAAACTCCCCATCCCACTCCTGTAAACTCATTGTCATTAATGTTGTGATGGAAACAAGTGTAGATTATGTTGTTTCTTCTATATTGCTTTCTTTAATAGTTTCACTAACCAAGATAAAAAAGACCCTTTAAAAACATCCACTCAAGATGCTGTGAAAAAGCATTTCCAGCCCTCCAAAATAAGGAGAAAATGTAATGAGTAATTAATTAATTACATGCCATCCAGTCAATTCCAATTGGAGGGCTAGAAGGTATACAATATTCAGAAGTGGTTTACCAGTCCCTTCTCCTGGATGAGCACTGGGATTGTGCAACTTCCCCAGGACTACACAGGCTGACTGTTTTCCTGGGACACATGCTGGATATTAAACTTCCAATCTCTGGCTCTTCAGTTAGGTGCTTTGTCTCACTGAGCTATCTAGCTAGTGTAATGGGCAAACTATTCACGAAAAAATGGCATGCACTTACCAGCCATTTTTTAAAGACATAACATTATTTCTTCACTACCTCCTGGAAATAAAGTGCTATTTGTATCATGGCTACTTTTAGGTAAGTCTGTCCACTGTTGTCCCTTGCTTTATATGACTTGAAAGAATTCCAGGTGGCGTAGATGAAAATGGGCACGATGGTAGCATCTGAAAGGAGCATATTGCTACTGCTTTGTCTATTCTGTTTCTTTTTCAGATGGAATGGATGGTACTAGTACCTGTTTCAACTGAAATGTGTGCCAGATAGCTAGGCCTAGCATTTGAGAACTGTTAATTGTGAAACCTAAGAAGAAAATGGACCTGCTTTTTCTAAGGCGACTGGATAATCCAGGGATGCTCCCACTCATTCAAGAGTGCTCTGGGTTTCACTTTTATTCTTCTCCCACATAAAATCCACAATGTGCACAGAAAATTGGCAGCTTCTCTATAGCATTCTTTGCTGGGAATACTTTGGGTTGTTAAAATGGGCTCCCGTGTATTACAATGAAATTGTCACTGCTGCGCGGAGCAGCATAACATGGCTTGACACTCCACACCCGCAGCTACAGAAAACAGACTTTTATTGCATTTTTTTTCTTTCTGCGGCAAGAGTCTCTGAAGACTTGCTGCAGACATGTGCTTAGTTAAATCTGAATGAAGCCAAAATGAACAATCTTGGCTTCACTCTTTTCTGTTAGTAGAAACGCCCCACCCTATGTGTTCGAGGCAGTGGGGGTGGGGTGGGGGGAGAGAATAGGGCTACAAAAGATTGCAGTGATTGCAAGCCAAGAGGGACACTTTTACTGCCTTCTCCTGAAACAAAGTAACATAAATTTTGATACTGTTAATCATCCTCTATTCATGGTCTGAAAAACTCTCTGAAAAATTCTGCAGAAGAATGCGGATCGTCCTAAAAGCCCTGTGTTTAGACTCCAGAAAACATCTTTGTTTTCCGGAATTATCACTTCCTCTCAGTTTTTAACTGCAGTTTTTTTCCCTCACCAGTGCTTTATATTAATACATTGTGAAAGGAAGTTGAGCTACAAGTGTGAAACTAGGCTGAAATTCTTAGAATTTTCTTGCTGGAGGGACATCAAGATAGCAACCAAAAATTAAAGTGGCAAGCAGTGGGGCAGGGGGTAGGAAATAAACAGGTAGAGCTGGGTAGTCTGGCCAGGCTCTCTCTCTCTCTCTCTCTTAAATTGTGGTCTGCTTAGGGTAGCCACTTAGTTATGTTACATGCTACACTCACTAAGAAGGTAAATATTTGCCTTAAGAGCCACATGCTTATTTAGAGAGAGAGAGAGAGAGAGAGATGTAACTGACCACTCTTGCGCTGCAAAGAAATTCTACTAGGTATTTGAGATGAGTTTTTTTCCCCCCACAAAGCTTGAAATGGCAGCAAATCAGTGAGGAAAGCAGCTCACAGGCAGAATTGGTTAATATAAATTATCTCATGTGATGGTCCTTCATGGATAAGGTCAGTTCAAGGTTGGATCAGGGTTGGAGAGGATAAAACCTCTATGGAATATCTGTTTCAGGTGATCTGTATCCCAGGTTAGGCTACTAACTGTGATGCAAATTTTATTCATTTGTTTGTATAATGTTTGTTGTGTCACTTCCCCACACAGAACATGCTTACCGCTCATGGCCTGTAATTTGTTCTCTCTCTTCTTTCCCAACACTAAATTGCTCAAGACCATATGATAAATATCGGACATACAGTATATTGCAACTATGATCTTTTAGTACATTCTAAAAGACCCTAGTTCTATTCAGATCTATCCACTACTCATTATTATGTATTTTTTAGCTTGTTTTACATTTACATGCGCTATCTTCCCTGAATACCCTAGGAATCAGCTAAATTTAAAATCTGATTAAAACTAGTAATTACTAATTTGCTACCTAAATGAAATAGCTTCTTAGAAGTCCCATTTTAAATTTATCATTCTTTGTATTCCCTTGCTTATTGTTAGGAATGTTGGATTATCCACAATATTTAACTTGATGTGAAGTTTACACTCATACCTGTGTAAGTGAGAGTATGAAAAATATGTTACTGAATCTTGACAAAAGTGTTTGAGGTGGAAATTGCTACAGGATACAGAGTAGTTCTGGCTATCAAGGGAGCAGAAACATGGTGAAGAAAATAATTATAGAAACAACTATTTTAAAAATAACAGAGTTTGCTATTCTCAGGAAGCATTGGTCCACTAACTGTTGCTGCCATTTAACAAGAGCAGCAACCACCACCACCAGTGAATCCTTGCTTGTTCTATGAAAAATACATTTATTGCTATTTTCCTTACTTATTTAAATATAAATCTTACAATTTTCCAGCTTATCTCTACCAATTTAGCTTCCACTTCTTTATTGCTTTTATTATAGCTGAGGTAGTTCAGTTCTGTGTCTCTGTGAAAAAAGGTTTAAAGTACTAAAAATAAAAGTTCTAGCACATATGCAAGAGCAATGTGGAATAACCCAGTGGCAAGTGGCCCAGAGAATAAGACTCTATAGACCATTGTCACCATAAGTGGCCCACGGTCTGAGAAAAAGGTTTGCTTGAAATTTAGGTGTGAGACCACATCCCCTCTTTTGTTCTGACTATGATCCACCCCTTATTCACCCACAAAGAAGCATATGCATCCCAGTGATAATGAATGTTGTGTCTTCTTCTACTGTGAAGATCCATAGGACTGATTTCTAAAAGTTTTCATTCCTCCACGTACCTTTTTCTTGACAACTGTGAACTGATGATGATGATGATGATGATGATGATGATGATGATGATGATGATGATGATGATGATGATGATGATGATGATGATGATGATAATAATAATAGTCATTCTCTTTATTTATTGCTTCTCCCCCAGGATGGAATCTACTGAAAAATGTGAAGTAGTTATTCAGCATTTTAATGGAAAGTACCTGAAAACGCCCCCTGGTGTGCCGGGTAAGTCTTCCTGTTCATTGTTCGTTTAATTAAAACTCAGCAAAGCCAAAAGATGTTAAATGAAATGAAAATATAGAAATGCTGGGGCTGCAAGATTTTTGAAGTATCTTTGCATCGCCACATGGAATCTTATAGTCCTGGTTCGATATGAATTGTCATTCATTCATCCATTGGGGAAGTTCATAAACATCTTATGTGAGTTTGATATTTGACATACAGGTCATCCTTATTTTGAGGGTGACTGAACTGTGAATGATTCAAACATTCAGTAAATCAGCTTGAATGACATTATTTTATTATCTGGCCTATTCGTGCCCCACAGGAACCTGTTGAGAACTGCAGGGCTTTGATGTATTGTAGAGAACCAATTTCTCCAGCTGCTTAGACTGCAAAAGGCTGGGTGTGTGAACAAATAAAGTTCTAAATCATGAAAGGACTGGTCTCTTCCCATGCCTTCAAATATTTCTTATTTAAAAATCAGTTCAAGAAGGGTAGTTGTATTTAAAAATAAACAGGACAACACTGTATAAGCAGTCTTCTGTATTCAGGGTCAGATAGCATGTTAAATGGAAATGTTTACTTCCTGCAATGTTTTTCCTCCAGGCATGGAAATCTGTAAAAACAAATACTTGAGAGATAGGGTGGCTCTGCAGCAACAGAAGACATTCTTATCTCCCAGGGACCAGTTGCAAAAGTAAAGCAAGCTAATTTGTGGATTTAGGCCACCTCATGTTACAATTTTTCCTCTCCCAGGTCCTCTGCTTCAAATGACATTTTAATAGTATAGCTTGTCCTGGGTTCCAGTAAGTTGCCTACAAGGAGAAGTCTAGTTCTTCATGCCAAGGCTTCCACTATGGGCATAAATGAGGACAAAAGGCAAATCTGGCTCAAAAACCTTGATTTCATGGGATGAGTCTCAGAAAGTAGAAGGGAGGATGGTTAACAGCAAAGAGGTTACTGAGCAGTGGAGTCGTCGACAAGCAAGGGATTTTGAGGACCTGGTCATCAAAGTTATGAAAGTTAGGTGATGAAACTTGTTGGAAGAGTCAATTTCTCTCAGTCTAACCTGCCTCATAGGGTTGTTTAGAGGATAAACAGGAAGAAAAAAGGACCATGTACACTTCCTTGAACACACTGGAAGAAGTAATTGATTGACATTTCTTTGGGGTACTTTGAGGATTATGACCAAAGAGGAGTTTTGATAAATGAAAATCTGAATAGCATGGTGGGTTTAGTTTTGTCCTATGGGACTCAATTAGACATGCTTCAAACTAGATATGCCATTTATAATTATAAACTGCATTTTTAAAAGACTTTACTTACTTTTACTTTTTACTTTTATTGAACTTATACCCTGCCCCTCTAGACAAAGTCTACTCGGGGCGGCTTACATGAGTAATAAAATTCAATAATATAACATTTAAAAACCTGGCTCTAAACCAGACCTAGAGAACTGAGAAAGAGTTACTGAAATCAGTTGATCATACAAATGCCAAAGTAAATTTCAGCTATCAACTGATGGTTTTAATTGTATAAATATTTTTGGGTTGCAAACACCTCTGGTCTGTTCACTTGTGTTACTCTGTAATTTGATGGTTCCATAAAACTAAATTAATGAAGATTCCAACAGCTGTCTGGAACTCAGTCACTGGAAATAGGGTTGACACGAGGGTTCTGTCCCTGCAAATTGACCAATGATATTGCACTGCAGGAGACACAGGAAGAATATTCTGTTGGGACTGGGAGATCAAAGGGATTGTTAGCATGGGAACAATTTGGAAGTTTGCATCCATAACTACTAGTCTCTTTTTCCAAACTTTGCCACAACCATTTTCTCTTGGTTTGGACTAGTGTCTTCTAGATAAGTAAGCTAGGTGTAGACGCTACGTAATCTCTTGAGTTTATTTTGTTTTGTGTCCACGTCTGGAACTGGATTGGTGCCAGACTAACTTCCTAACACTCAAAGATGGTAAACTGGCTTACCTGACCATTTGCCTTGGCATGTATTAGTGTTCATCTCCATTTTGTACTATGTTTGCATTGTGGCATGTCATAAGTAGTGCTCATACAACTCCCTGGGTTGGAATGCCTGGCTCTAGAGCCAAGGGCTCAGAGTTTGAATCCCCATTGTGCCTTCTGGAAAAGAGTTGAGCTGACATTACCCAGATGTGTGTATCTACATTGGTTATGTGCCCTGCCACCTATGAGGCCTTAGGCTCTATCTCAGAGTACCACCAGAAGGAGAGAGAGGTAAACTTCTTCTGAGTACTTTATTCCTAGAAAATCCTGAGGTGGGAAGGTTTTGACAAAAGTTGTAATCAGCTTGACAGCATGTAATTATTAAGTCATAAATACTGCCAGACATCCTTACCTCTACTTAAAAACATGAAGATATAAAGCAAAAATGGTGCCAGGGATAGTAGAGAGGAGGTAAAGTGTATTTAACACACACTATGGAATCTTACTGCACAAAATGGTCACAGACTCTATTTCCGATTTTCGAGTCCCTTCTTGCCACCAGTGCATTTATTGTCCTTTAAGCCACATTATTTTAGACTGGATTGGATTGGATTTGCTGTAGCATTTCCTCTTTGTCTTCTCCAATTACTACTTCACACGTTTTAATTTCTTTTTCCTAATATGTCACTGAAACAGAGAAGGAAGAGGAAATGGATGTTGTGCAACCACATTCATGTGTCCAAGATGTGTGTGGTATCAGTACTACCAGTAGCTATATGTTATTTTCTTACTGTAGTTTAGAAAATAAAAGGCACAGTCACCAGTTCACAATAAATATATGGTGTTTAAATACATGAAATTGAGTATTAAATCATGTATCTTACTAATACAGAAGACCAAAAGTCTCCACCAAAACCTTTTGCATGGTTGCATTCATTGTCAGTGAAAAGAAATAAGATTTTTATCTTTGTCTCCAGTGTTAACAGTTAAGAATGCAGTGGGTATCTTTTTTCATCCATGCTGAAAAACGATGTCTCAAAACACCAACACACTAAGTGATAAAAATTGTCAGCCACTGTGAAATATTTTTTTCTGCTCTAGAAGAATGGAAAGAATGTGTTTTCAGACCCCCATCAGCAGTAGTATTAGCAAAAATTGTCAGCCACTGTGAAATACTTTTTTCAGACCCCCATCAGCAGTAGTATTAGCAAAAAAGTGAGTTTTACAAAAAAAAATACTTTGCACATAAACTTCTATTTTTGTAAAAAAAAACACGCACACACAATATGCAAGTATATTTATTTTAAGCTGTCAGAACTCAAAGAGTTTCTGTGACAAGACTATGCACACTGCTACCCCACATCCCCATGTGCACTAGATTTCACTTCCTTCATTTCCCAGCTGTCGCACTGAGCAGCAAGATCTGAAGCATAGTTCTCCTTGTGTTCAGCTGAATGCGAATGAAGCAGTTGATGTGATCCACGCGTCAACTACTCTTTTTTGTGTTCAAGGAAAATTCTGTTTCAGATTGTTCTATTCATCATGGCAATGTCAAGGACTGACAGTGTGGGACTAAAACTGTTGGGGAGATAAGAGGCAGGGCTATTATGCATATTCTCCTGCACCGGGGAGGGCAATGTGTGTCCTTCCAGATGTTGCCCGACTTCAGCTTCTATCAACCATAGCCAGCATGGTGAGTGGTGAGTGGTGGTGAGACTTGCAATCTAACAATAGATTGTCCACCCTCTCTTGCACTCCAGGAGAGAGTTTTGGGTTAGAAAGAATACCTGTATAAGACTTGAGAGTAATAGTGACAATGAATATGCGGTATTCAGTCCTTTCATGCCAAACAAAACAAAACAAATACAGCAGTCCATTTCCATTGGAAAGCCTTTTTCTTCGGCTAGTCTCAGTTGTCTTCTCTCTGCAAGAAAACCCACATACTATCCAAAGAAGGAAGAACATCAATTTGTGCCACAGGACTAAATGCAATGAAATCTATCTGAGATCTTGATATTGCTCCTCAGCATTTTCACATGAATAGGTGTTATACTACATAGGTTTATATGCAGTTACATATTAAAAAGCTGAGGAACAGCCTTTCAGCTATCTATAAATGAGGTCTCATGTCACACAATAATAAATGTGTGTTGTGTTTTTTTGGTACAACAGTCAACTGGCTATGAATGCTAAACCTCTGACTCTGCAGCCAGATACCTAAACCACTGAGCTATCCAGCGAACATCTAACTGTAGGATGTTGATCGATTGATTTCATTTCTATGCTGTTATTCTCCTGACAACTGAACAATATATTGTCAATATAATAGTGTGTATTGAATCCAAATGCATGAGTTATTTCCCCAGTTCTGAATATATGATATTTAATTCAGAACAGTTGTCCAGACAAAATTTTGGGGCACTTAACCAGCAGTAGAAACTTACAGAATCTTCCTAAAGGACCTTGAGAGATAGAGTATATACAGAAAAACAAAGGACACATTATAATTCAATGGGTTGTATAACTGTCTTTAGCAGCAATAACTAGAAGTAATTTTCTGTATGATTTTATCAGTCTTTCACATCATTGTGGAGGAATTTTGGCCCATTCTTCATTACAATGTTGCTTAAGTTCATTGAAGTTTGTGGGCATTTGTCTATGCACAGCTATGTTAAGGTCCCACCACAGCATTGCAATCAGGTTGAGGTCTGAACTTTGACTGGGACATTGCCTTGATTCTTTTCTTTTTCAGAAATTCTGTTATAGATTTACTGGTGTGCTTGGGCCAAGCTTTACCTGTCGGACACATGGCCTCACATTTTACTCTGGAATACTTTGGTATACAGAGTTCATGGTCGACCCATTGACTGCAGGGTGCCCAGGTCTAGTGGCTATAAAACAAGATTAAATCATCAGCCCTCCACCACTATGTTTGACAGTTGGTATGAGGTGTTTGTGCTGATAGGTTGTGTTTGGTTTTCGCCAAACATGGTGCTGTGCATTAAGGCCAAACATCTCCACTCTGGTCTTGTCTGTCCAAA